ACATTCCATTTCATATTTTAGGCAACAGACTCTGATTTTGTTTGGTGGAACTGCCATCCAAACTCCATCAAACTCCATGCTTTTAGAAGCTGTCCAGTGTTGTTCTGGGAAAAAGATGTACTACTAAAAAAAAATCAGTACTACAATTATTTCTGTCACATGGCTATGAGGAGCTGTTTAGCTAGTCACGTGACCCAATCCTGACCAATTAGGGCATCACATTCCTATGGCTACAGCAATCAGTTCAGAAATGGGCATAAAGAAGATTGTTCAAAATGTGCTTTCTGGGTCAGCCTGTAGAACAACAGTTAAACAATGTACATAGAGAACTAGGTTCTACATGGCCACCCTGGTTCAGAACCCATGGCTTGAAAAAAAACACCACATGCCCGGGCAACTCTGCCTCAAATCCTGAAGGGTCTGCCTCAAATCCTGAAGGGATAGAGAAATGAAGGAAAAGAAATTTCAGCATAACCATGCCCCACTAGAACTCTCTCCACCCCATGATTGCATGCACCCTCTAGCAATTAAGAAAATGTGCTCTCTGAAATGATCTCTTACAGAAATTATGGATCCCTCTGAAAAGCTCAAAGCATATTATCTGCAGAATAGACCAGGAGACGACAGATAGTGAGGTGTTCAGATACTTAGCTTCTAGAGTTGCTTCATTTCCCCAGGAAAGATGCTCTTGGATTAGTGGTGATAAGAATTGGCTTGGTCAACCATGGGGTGAGACTTCTAGGTCTCAGGAAGTTCTCAGTGAGACTTCCTGCTTCTAGCATTATGGTCACAAAAGGTGATTTACCAAGTCTGGTCAATGTCTTCATTCACCATTAACACTATCCTGCTACGTAGTCCACAAGTTACGTAATAATGACCAAGTGTCCACATGCCAGCACTGCAATCATCTAGTGATGATAATTATCTCCAGGATCCAAGAGGAGGTGAGCATAGCAGATCTATAACAGGTATGTGACCCACTCATAGCCAATGGGGCTCCTCCTACATGGAATTCTATGAAGGCGTTAGGCAAGAGAGAATCTGTTCCAATGGCAGCTGCTGAGGGGATAAGATTTTACATGGGAATGCTGGAAGCCATCTTCTTATCCCAGGGTAGAGACCTTGCCTGGGAAAGGAGTCCACCCAGAGTAATAGAGAGGGAAAGTCATGATGATTCCTGAGGCAATCATTTCAGCCTCCAGGTGCCAGACATGCTTGAAGTAAGATCTACTCCTATACTTTTCAGATTTGCAGCTAACAAAATGTCCTTTTTTGCTGGACCAGCAGATGATGTAATGGTTATATCACTGGACTACCACATGGTTGACTGCAGTTTGAATCCTGGACCTGGTGGTTTAGGCTTAAAACTCACAATGGGCGTGTGTGCATGTGTGCCCAAAATCCCAAGAAGGAGAAAGAATTGCAGCATGGCCATCCATCCCCCTTGGGAGATTATTTCTTGCTTTCTGTCTCTCTGTCTTTCCAGGGAGCACATGTGTCCTATAGGAAAAAATCTCTCTTTCAAAAAACAAAAACAAAAACAAAACACTTATTTTTGCTTAAGACAATTTAAATGGTAAATTGTGACTTGCGAAATACAACACAAATAAATGACTCAGATTATAAATGTGGTGATTTTAGTGAACAAAGCAGAAATTATCCCTAGAGTAACTGAGATAACTTCAAGAAGCACATGGAAAAGAGGCTGATCTTTGAAAATGAGAGAATATTTGGGTTAGAACCAAAGGGAGAGAATTCTATGTGCTGGAACAAATGAATAAAAACAACATGGAAGATGGTAAGTCAAGGAAGGGAATATTGAACTAGCCTGGTGTGACTAGGGTCTGGTCAGACGGCAGGGTTCTTCTGCCACCAATAGCTATATGACCACAGAGAGGCCCCTTTGCCTTTTAGAGGCTCAGTTTCCTTTTATGTCAATGCACAGAATTGGACTCAGTTCTCTAAGATCCACTCCAGCTCTCCTTTTTTGGCTCTATGAAACCTTGAAAGGCTGCTCATACTCCTGTATGCTTAAACACCTCCAAAGTCACTTATACGCTCTTAGAATATAGATTCTCTTTGGTCTTTTGTTTTTCCCTTTACCCGCCACTATTTATTCACTTGGCAAAGAGCAATCTTTTTACCTCATGTTCTGAATGAAATGGAAATGGACAAGCCACATTTACTGAAAAGCTGTGACTTTTAACGTTGAAAGCACTTGATTGTGCCCTGGAAAGGCTCATCTCTGAGTGAGGGTGATGAAAGCGGTGGGAAGGGGCCGCCTGGTTAATTGCAGTTCTGTGAAGATTAAAGAGAGAGAGAGGAATTTGCAGGCACTTTGCTCTTTGTGAGCTGTCTTCTCCTGCCCTCTTCTCTTTCGGTGGAAAAGTCTTTGGCACCCAGGTCTAAATTAAGATCCAAGATGCATTGTATGCAAATAAGATACTGAACTTGCACTCTTAACTGCACAGTGTAGCATTTGTTGAAGTAGTGTCATTCTCTAAAATAAATGTTTTTATGTTTATTGTCCAATGAAAACCAGACACCTAATCTCACCTGAGCTCACGCCCTTAGTTAGAATGAGTCTTAGGCTAAAATCATTGCAGAAAAACTTGCAAACTAATAAGAAATCTTCAGACTGGGTTTGAATGGCGGACTTAGGTGATTTTAAGTCCCCAAGTCACTAGCTCTGCTATGCACATTGGTTTATTTACTGTCTGTCACCACCTGGAAGGCAGGGACTTCATCTTATTTATCACTGAATGCACAAACCTGCCACAGAATAAGTGATCAATAAATGTTTATTGAATGAGTGAATGAGCAAATATTAATGAGGAATTGAAGTGAGCTTTTAATTAACCAGAAACATAAGCAGACGTCTATCAGTCTTTGATCAGCGTGAGAAAAACCACAGAGATCACACAGAGCTGACTTAATTTTTAACCCCAAACAAAAGCATCTGACATTGCATGTGCCTTCACTGCAGATAACGGTGGTGTTTATCTGGCTTTTAGAATTATTGACAATAGTTTATTGTCAGAGAACTCGATTTCGGAATCTTATCTCTCTCTCTTTATTTTTATTTTAAAATTTATTATATGGCATGCCCATTCACCAGAAAGAAAGAAAGAGAGAAAGTATGAAAACATCTCCTGGGGGGATGGCTATGCTTCAATCCCTTCTCCTCCATTTTCTCCTTGGGATTGTGGGCATGCATGTACATACGCCCAGGCATGTTTTCTCAAGCCTCTGGGTCCAGGAATTGAACTAGGCAGTCAGCCATGTGGAATCCAGCCACCATAATCACCATGCATGCCACTGCCTGTTCCTAGAATCTTATCTCTCTTAACCCCATAATTTTGCATACAGGGTATAGAAAATTTATTTGTTTTTCTTTTAAATTTATTTTATTAAGACGGAGCATGTGTATGCACACATGAGAGAAAAAGAGAGAAAGAGAAAGAAAGAGAGAGAAGCACCCTCGACAGGGTTTTGTCACACCATAATCCCACTTTGGCAGCCCTCAAGCTCCTCGGAAGCTGTTTCAAGCTGACTCAGGGATCCTAACTGCAGTCGGCTTCCAGCAGTTAAGTTTGCTACTGACTATACCATCACACTGGGCTGAAAAGCTGTGTTTTCTTAGCAAGTGCCCGAGACTCCCATTTAAAGAGAATTCTGGCCTTGTTGAGATAATATTTGATTGGATGAGCCTGCTTGGGCAGGTGATCCCTGGCATGTTGGTTGACTTCAAGGCTTCTGAGAAAGAGCCCAAATTGCTCTGTAGACATTTTGGGGTCCCAGAGGAAGGAGAGAAAACAGAAGAGTTGAAAAAGCCAGGCAGATGGGGTGGGATAAGAGTGAGGTTGAACTGTGTGGTGTGACTTCTCTGTTAACCTCTCAAATTGTTTTTAAAGTTATTAAACCCATGAACTTCTAGTTGTATTTTTTTTTTTTTTTCTTTTTCAGATGTACAGGACTGAGTTTCTCATCTGGGAACGGTGCTGTGGATAGGAACAGTACTTGCAGATTTAAAGTCAGAGATGCCTATGCTAAGCAAAGATGCCTTGAAGATTTGGAGAAATTATGGTCTGCCACAGGCAGTGGATAAGTTGATGTGTGAGTCAAGGTTACTTAGATATCTGAGGGATGGGAGGCTTCAGCTGACACCAGGGTTACATGCAGATGAGAAAGCTAAGGCAATAGGACAGTGGTAAAAACAAACAAAAATGAATACAATACAAGAAAAATTCTGGTTCTACAATCAAATGTCCTCAATTCCTGAGTTTGAATTCAAACTATAATATTTGTTCCATGGCCCTTAGCAAATCGAAAATTCACTGAGCCTCCATTTCCTCAGTTCTATTCTCAGAAGGATATCTGAAGGTGTGGAGAGAAGACCTGTGAGTTGTTAGCACAGAGGCCAACAATGGTTGTCATTATTTATCTTTTTAAGAGAGATTTTTGCTATAGAGTGCATGCTCTCAGTGGAGAGACAGAGAGACAGCGAGAAGTCACCCCCTCACACCACCCCCACCTCCTCTATCCTCCTCTTGGGATCTTGAGCATGCACGCACTTGTGTCTGGCGTGAATTTTAAGTTGCCAAGTCTGGGATTCGAACCACAGTTGACTATGTGGGAGTCCAGCAATGTAACCATTATGCCATCTTCTGGTCCTGTTAACTTTGAGATTAACAAATTTGCCCAAAACACCTAGACCAGAAAAAGCCAAAACAGGAAGAAGAGCCTGGCCCTCCTGCTACTTCATTGGTTGCCCTTTGCCCAGATTCTGAGGCTCCATCACTATTTTCAAGATAACAGCACAGATGGAAGTACTGGCCTTGTGTTTTGTGAAGGCACAGCTGCTGCTTGATAGAAAACATCCTGCCCATTGTTAAGTTACAAGAGCCAGGACTTCATGACTATTTTAAATAATAATGGCCAATTATGACTTCCTTTGTATTTATTAGGACAACACTGTAAGTGAGAAATTGTGGTGTCCTTGGGGAGATGGGGGATTTAATTCCATGGGAATCCCATTGTATTTTCCCACTATGGCTCTCTTTGCTGAGGAGGAATCCCATTCATCATCTGACATCTACCATGACATTTATAGTCTTGTTGAAACTGTTTGCCGTGTTGATGGGCTGCTGGCTTGAGTTGTCTGAGCTCGGAGCTTTGGTGAGGCAGTGAAGCGAGGAGTCTGCTGGCTGGGGAGCCCAGTTGTCTGGATTCAAGGGCTGACTGAATTTTTTGTATGAGCGTAGAAAGATCATTCTCCATCTTGTGACCTTAGTCAATGAAAGAAAGGGGTTTAAAGGTTTGGTTCAGACAAACTTTAAAGGCTTTCCCAGCTGTGACATTATATTATTTTAATAATTTGATACCTATTTCATACCCGGCCAAAGGGAAGTCACTCCTTTGCTGACATTTGTTTTGGTGCGCTTTGCAGAGTCTTCTTGTGTCTGCATGCTGATGGCATAGTGGGCAGCTTTCCCTTTACAAAGTGAAATTCTAGTCAGCTGAGCTTTCAGTGAACAACTTCAAATTGTCAGCTTTGGCTAGTCACTCAGGATCATTCTCTTCACTCTGTCTTTTGACCCTGGGATCTGCCTGGGCCTGTCCAAGAGGATTCAGACTTACATGGAACCATATTCTGTCTTCTTTGAAGGTGAGAAACATGCTAGAGACTGCGTAAGAAAAAAAAAGATATATTAAACACGCCAAAAATTGTATTTGGCATATAATGGAATGCAGAAATTGTTAGTGTTTTTCTGATCTGTTGCCTAATCTATAGAGAATGGATTCTCTATGAACTTCAGGATGGGAGAGATAAGAGGAGAATTCATTAAGGAGACCTCACAGGGTACCTGGGGTCTCGTGGTGTCCCTGAGATCACTCACTTGGTAACTGCCACCAAAAAAGTGAAGGCTTGATTCTTCTTGGCTAGGCTGGTATAAGAGTTGTAGAAATGATTGAGATTATACTGCTTAGCTCAGGGAAATAGCACTGGCCTGGGAGTTGGGGCTCCAGAGATTTAATAACTGGATGGCTCACTTTGGGTAAGGACTTGCTTCCTCTAAGCCTGAGATTTCTTCTGGTGTTCCATATATGAATTTTGACACTGGTCCATGCAGTCATATGAGGGAGAACCTCACCCCTGGCTACTGCATGGGGCCTTCTCGATTTCCTAGTCTTGTCTGGGGAGCCCACTCAGCCTGAAAGGAGCAATTACAAGCTGTAATCAGAGGCACATGAATCAGAGATTCCTTCTCTTTAAATATTTTGACTCGCTTGTCATTTATTGGAGCTCTAATCTATATTTATGTCTCAGTCTTTCTGAAATGGATTTCAGAAGGAACAGGAAAAGTGGGAGGGGAGATGGAAGCTTCCCTTTTCTGGACAATTAGCTAGGATTGTTTACAAGAGGTTGCTTTTACCCTTTGGTGATTGTGTGGTCCCCTCTTCTTGTTGTCCCTACTAACATTAATTATGATTTTAGCTGCCGATATTTGGGCTGCCCTCTGTAATGATGAGGAATTGTGTGGTGATTCTGAGGCAGCCACCATGGCAGTACCGTTTGAATATTAGAACCTGAAAGTTGCTTCAATGGGGTCCCTGGTATGGGATGTAGCTTCCATCGTGCACAGCCTTCACTGTCTCTCCTTTGAGTAGTGGGAAGGGAAGCATGAACAACCCAGGAAGGGGAAAAAGGTACAGAGGACACAGGGAAAGGCTCTGAGGTCTGACCGTGGGTGAATACACCTAAAGCTCAACACTATCTTAATATTAGCAGTAATCACCATTTTTCAAGATTGCTTTGAGTCTGCTATTTTATAGGCGAAGAAGCAAGGCTTGGTGAGGTTACATAATATGTCTCACCTCACTCCTTGGCCAAGCCGTCTACAACTGGAGAACATAGTCACTTGTCCCATTACATCTATACGCTTAAATTTGGAAAGGAAAGTCATCTGGGGCCACAGTGGCTGATTAGCATCTGAAGAAAACAGCCCTGACTCTACCTTTATAATCCTAATCACGAACCACAGCCATTTCCCTCGGGTTTATGATGAACCTTGCTGTACTTGATAAATACGGAAATACATGATTTCTTGAAATTCTCACAATTTTTATAATGAAGTGAATACTATTTTATAGGTGAAGAAATTTAAGTTAAGAAATAAGATGCTACATGTTAGGGCCATGCCACCATTAAGTTGTAGAGCTAGAATTCAAAGATGTATTTTTAATTTTGTTTCCATTGTTGAACTTTCAACATCAATGACTTAGAAATTTCTTTATCAACTGGAGATTTACGTTGAGGGCATTTTCATGAATCTCAAAGTAACATTCTTATTAGTAAGTCTTTGTTGTCTTCTCCTTTGTAGAAATATATTTTGAGAAGTGGGTTACTCTTCAGTATATTAAATCCATGTGGCCCTAGTAATCATACATTTCCTGGCATGAACAAAACTTATTGCTAACTCTAATTCTCTTCCCTGCAGGGCTCACATCGCATTAATCTGTCTTCAGATTCTATAAAGCATTCTAATCCCATATGGTTCAAACGGAACCCGTTGCAGTGTTCTTCTCTTATCACTTGAACTCCAACTCTTCTTGCTTGTAAACACCCTCCCTCCACACCAAACCGCATTCTGACCTCTTCCCTTTCCCTTCTATGGCCCTCACTTATGCCCTCCATGCTAAAAACCCTAGTCTCCCTTTTTACTCTCTGAAAATAGTTTTTCATGGTTTCATGGTACTCTGGAAAGAAGTCTTTTTTTTTTTTTTTTTTTTTTTTGCCTGAGGAGGTGTTGCCATTCCCCTTCAAAAGAGTTGAGTGGAACCAGCAGTTAGCATAATGGCTATGTTGCTGGACTCTCATGTAGTCAACCGGTTCGCGTCCCGGTCCCAGGGGCTTAAACTCATGCCAGGCGCATGTGTGTGTGTGCCCAAGATCCCGAGAGGAGAATGGAGGAGAAGGGATTGCAGCGTGGCCATCCCCCGTGGGGGGTGATTTCTCGCTTTCTATCTCTCTGTCTCTCTCTGTCTTTCTGGCAAGTGCACGTGCCCTATAGCAAAAAGAAAAAAAAAAAAACCTCTCCAAAAAAAAAGAAAAAAAAAAAAGAATTGAGTAATGTAGTAAAGAAAAATGGATAAGCACTCTGAATGATTACAGTTAAAAAAACCCACAAATAATTTTTCTGATATATATGAGAAACTCAGAGTAAAAGAAAGTCACAGAGTGTGGGATTCCAGGTAATGACGTTTTCTGGATATTTCAGTAGTAATCTTTTTGCAGTATCTGACTCTACTTTCCTGAGCCTGTAAGAGTACCACACCACTCACACTCCTCGTTGACTGAAGATTTTTGCTTCCTAGAAAGATCTTATGGCACTGGCATTAGCTCTAGTCCACTTCCTCACTCTACTTCCTGAGACTCCTGCCACCTTCACCCCCTTCCCCAGCAAATAAGCTTTCTTGCAATAAGGTCACTCTGAGAGCAGTTTCCTTATTGTGTTAGATGTGAGTTCATTTCACAAACGAGCAATGACTACCTATACAACTAGGCCAAATCTGGTAACATCTCTGAATTTAATGGACCTATTTGTATATAGGCACTAATTCCTCATATTAATAGTGTCCCAAGCACATTTTCATTCTCATGGTTTTATTTTGTCTCCAGAAAGTTAAATTAATTAAAAAATTCCTTGCAGTCATCAAAGAACTTTTCATGTGCAAGGAATTTTGTGCCTTATGACACAAGATTGTGGTTTAGTCTCTGAACACCTCTATGGAGTAGGTACAGTTGTTCCATAGTCTCTGTAGGGGATTAGTTCCAAAACCCTGGAGGGTACCAAAATTTGAGTATGCTCAAGTTCCTTATATAAAATGCTGTAGTATTTCCACTCATATATTTAAAATCATCTTTAGATTACTTATAATACCTAATAAAATGTAAGTGCTATGTAAATCACTGTTATATTATTTAGGAACTAACAAAGAGAAAAAAGTTTGTATGCATTCAGTTGAGATGTAAACTGAGTTAAGAGCTCAAATATTAAACTTCTAACAAAGGGGGATAAAGTGTCCTTCCCATTTTTCAGGGAAGATGACTAAACTAAAGGGCTGGGAGATATGGCTCCCTCAGCAGCAGAAAAACGAACAAAAAGAATTGAGTAATGTAGTAAAGAAAAATGGATAAGCACTCTGAATGATTACAGTTAAAAAAACCCACAAATAATTTTTCTGATATATATGAGAAACTCAGAGTAAAAGAAAGTCACAGAGTGTGGGATTCCAGGTAATGACGTTTTCTGGATATTTCAGTAGTAATCTTTTTGCAGTATCTGACTCTACTTTCCTGAGCCTGTAAGAGTACCACACCACTCACACTCCTCGTTGACTGAAGATTTTTGCTTCCTAGAAAGATCTTATGGCACTGGCATTAGCTCTAGTCCACTTCCTCACTCTACTTCCTGAGACTCCTGCCACCTTCACCCCCTTCCCCAGCAAATAAGCTTTCTTGCAATAAGGTCACTCTGAGAGCAGTTTCCTTATTGTGTTAGATGCGAGTTCATTTCACAAACGAGCAATGGACTACCTATACAACTAGGCCAAATCTGGTAACATCTCTGAATTTAATGGACCTATTTGTATATAGGCACTAATTCCTCATATTAATAGTGTCCCAAGCACATTTTCATTCTCATGGTTTTATTTTGTCTCCAGAAAGTTAAATTAATTAAAAAATTCCTTGCAGTCATCAAAGAACTTTTCATGTGCAAGGAATTTTGTGCCTTATGACACAAGATTGTGGTTTAGTCTCTGAACACCTCTATGGAGTAGGTACAGTTGTTCCATAGTCTCTGTAGGGGATTAGTTCCAAAACCCTGGAGGGTACCAAAATTTGAGTATGCTCAAGTTCCTTATATAAAATGCTGTAGTATTTCCACTCATATATTTAAAATCATCTTTAGATTACTTATAATACCTAATAAAATGTAAGTGCTATGTAAATCACTGTTATATTATTTAGGAACTAACAAAGAGAAAAAAGTTTGTATGCATTCAGTACAGATGCAACAGTTGTAGACTTAACTAAATTGTACATGTCAGCTACAACATAATATTTTTGATTCTTGGTTGGTTGAATCCTCAATTGGTTGAACTCCAAGATGTGGAGGGCCAATTATATGTCATTATCCCCATTTTAAAGACTAGGAAACTAAGATTAAGTAACATATCCAAAATTGTATCTCTGAGATGTAAAGGAGACTGAGTTAAGAGCTCAAATATTAAACTTCTAACAAAGGGGGATAAAGTGTCCTTCCCATTTTTCAGGGAAGATGACTAAGGCCTAGGGCTGGGAGATATGGCTCCATCAGCAGCAGAATAACGATAAGGACTAGGGTTAGTTTTCCTTTAAGGATGGGGTTTACAGCACATAATCTTACATCCCTGCTCAAACCCCCAAGGAGGTAGAAACTTGCAAACCTGGAGCTGGTGACTCCCTGAAGCAAACTCCTTTTGGATGCAGCCTCCAGGCATAGCCCTACTCTCTGCCAAGGTCTGGAGGCTGCCAAGGTCTCTCCTCAAGCAGTGCTTCCTGCTGCTGACCCCTCTAAGTGAGCCTGCGGGCTCTGTGCCCGGGACCCAGCCTGGGATTTATAGCCTGGGCTGCCCTCACACCCCAGGGAGCCCTCCCACAGCTTCCTGACCCTGGACTGTGGCCTGAGACCCAAGGACCTGGCTTTCCCAGGAGGCATTGCTCCCTCATGGCAGACTGCCAACTGTGGGTGGGGTGGGCTGTAGCCTGGGGCAAGGGGAACCAGTAGAGAGGCAGCTTGATTCACTGCCCTGACCTTGGCAAAGAGAAGTGTTCAGAGGAGTCTGAGTCCCAGTGACCTGCCCCAGAAGCTTTCAGGGATTTTAGATTCTTGAACGAGCCCTGAATAACCCATGGCTAATCTGCTGCTATCCTCATTGCCAGAAAGCCCAAGCATGACACAGAGCCCTCCCACATGGAGCCCTCCTGCCCCAGAAAACCCTCTTCCCTCTTGGATGTACACACTTTAGTTCACATGCAGCACCCAGCAAGGTTACTTGAGGCAGGAAGGACAGCTGGGGAGAATGACACCAAACTCAAGTCAATGATTCAATTTTCCTTCCTCACTCCTTCCTAACCTATAATATATATGAATATCTTATCTCGTCTCTCCCATCCCAGAGCTAGAAAATTCTGGGTCCAAAAACCATCTCCCCTTGCTATTGGCTATATGACTGTCGGAAAACTACCTAACCTCTCTCTACTGCAGCTCTTTTTTCCCCCCTTCTCTTGTTTACTTATGAAAGAAAGCGTGCATGTACACAACAGGGTCTTGTCATGCCATTTCCCCAGCCTTCCAGCCTCTCAGGATTCTGGGTGTGCCTGTACCAGGCTGTTCTCAGGCCGACTCAGGATCTGAACCTGTGGTCAGCAGTGTGGCTTCCAGCTTTGCAGTGTAGCATGCTACTGCCTGATGGCCTTTCAGCTTTTTCTAATGATAGTATTTAATATTACCATTATGTGACATGGTAACAACATTAGCTAAAGGGATTTTACTTTATCTCCAAGAATACCAGGTACGTCATTTCAGATGAAGACTTTCTGGACTAAGCTCTTAATCAAGGCTCAGAAGACTTTTAAGAATAAAAATACAGGCATCACAACCATAAAAAAAATGTAACAGAGACCACGTGAGCATCAGTCCATGGGTACCTCTGTGTGTAAAGATATTTCTGTTCCCCCGAGTCACTCTATGTCCCTATGTATGTGTCCCTGTCTTCCTTTGTTGGTCACTGAGCAACATATTCACACTCTTTTCCCCCTTTGGTTCTTCAGCCCTTAAGAGAGAGGAAAATGGATTAGAAATTCAACACCCAAGCTCACAAGAAAGCAGGAAAATCCACTCTGATAGTGACGGGCTCAGGATCCCTGTGAGCAGGAGACTGGTGGCTGATGAAGCTGGCCATGGAGACATGTTGGACACACACTAGTTGGACGGTGCAGTTCCTAGAGAAGACTGGGGGCAACGGTCCTTTGCAGATATTTTACTGTCCCAGATTAGAGTTTGTCTGTACTGCACCAAGCCCCCGTTTGTCCCGCCAAATGGTTGAGTGTCACATATTAGCAACAGATAGCCAGATCCTAAAACTGGGAAATCAGAAACCTAGCTCTCCAAATGGGGGTACTTTATGATGTCAGGGAGGAGGGTTCAAATCCCTCGAATGCAGAAGACAATAAATAGGCTGCACGTTCTAAAAGTTCAAGGCTAATTATTCGAGCATGCTTCCAGATTGGGTGTGGAGAACTAAAGGCGGGAAAAATAGAAGAAAAAAGGCAAACAAACCTCTTATCTGGAATTCCTTCCCCTTAAGAAGTCACATCTGGAGTTCACTGCCTGCAGCAGGAGCCACAGACCAGCTCTGCACCAGCGTCTGGCGGTGGTGACCAAGTGCAGACTGTGCTGTGCAAGGGGCTGATAGAATTTTTCTCTGATAAATATTCCTGCCAAAGTTAGCTTTTGAGCCATGGTTCATAAATATACAGTATTCCAGCAGAAAAGTACAGAATGTCCTCCTGGGGTTGACAAGTAAATAGTTTCATAAATAACCCTCATGACACGTGCAAGATGTTAACATTTTTGAGGTTTTGGGCAGGGGCAGACGTGGATTTAATTGCTCGATTCAGTCTGGAGCCTCAACTGGACTTGGATGTTACCTCTTGGGGCTGGTGGAAATGTTTTTCTTGGCTTGGAAGCCCTAGTGTTGCTTGTTGGCACCCAGGACAAAGGCATCTCCTCAAAAGATTCTGGGCGGATCCAGAGCCCCGCACAGGTGCGTATCAAGGGGACCACAATGGACGTCACATAAAATGCACTCTCTAATGTAAGAGGAGGGCTGCTCAGAGCCACGGTACTGATTGCTTTCGAGGTATCGAGTGTCCATTCCGGGTGACGTCTACCTAAAAGGGGGAGAACATTCCAAAGAAATGTATGTTGATAGTATTTTTTTTTTTTAAAGCAGCACATTTTGGATAAATCCCACAGTAGGCCAGATCAAACACTGAGTGTATGGGGATTTTAGTGCCAGAAGCACAACTGGATCTTTAAGCCATTAGTGGGCAGACTGAGGTTGTTCAAAAATGTGTTTCACACTGACCCTATTGCATTTCTAGAATTCCCATCTCTGAAGTGCCTTGAGGTCGAGCCTACTCACATGCAGCACAGCGTGCTATCTGGGCAAAAGGAATGAAAACATTACACTTGCGATCTCCTTGATAATCATTTATGGGCACTTTGAAGTTTTCTAGGCCCTCCCACGTCTACTACCGCAATTGAAACCCAGAATAGCCTTGTGAGATAAACAAAGAAAGCTCGCCAATTCCATTTTTAAAAAACATTATATTTATTTGTTTACTTATTTTGATTTGACCAGAGAGAGATACAGAAGCCAGGTGAGAAAACTGGCCAGGGCTTCAAGGTAGTAAGTGACAGAACAGGATTCAAAGTTGGGCCCTTAGCCTCTTGCAGTTATGCCCACAAATGGCCTCATTGATTAGACATGCTAGGAAAGAGAGTGGAGAGCGGACCTGGAGGAATGAGCCCTGGGATAGGAAGATTTTTGAAGGAGGAAAAAGCAAAGGAAGGACCAGAGCACACTGAGGACTTTGTTCTGATGGGGAGCCAATAGCATCTGGTTTTCACTGAGTCTTAACCAGGGTTGGGAAAGATAACCAGCCGCATCTCCTGTGGCTGAAGCTGGTGGTAGACACAACCTCTAGATGCCCCAAGGTGTGAGAAGGGCCCTTGCTGGTCTCAACTATAACCCATTGACAGGCTCTGAAAATGATTCTGAATTCACCTGTAGAGACAGGAACTTAAAACATTTTTTTAGAGGTCTTTTCCTTAGGGCCTGTGCACTCACCAGAGAGAGAAACAGATAGAAACAGTGTGAGAGGGATAGTGAGAAATCACCCCCTGGGGGTGATGGCCACATTGCAATCCCTTCTCCTTCATTCTCCTCCTGGGATCTTGGGCACTCATGCACATGTGCCTGGTATGAGTTTCAAGCCACTGAGTCTGACATTCGAACCGTGGTTGACCATGTGGGAGTCTAGCGACAGATCCTCTACACCATCTGCCGGCCTCTTAAAACATGGTTTAAAAACAGGACAAGAAATCTCTCTAACCTCTTATTTACTAGGTAAATTTTATGTCTACACATTTGACCAGAAAGGTCTCAGTCAGCTCACATTGGAAATAAAGATAGAAAGAATGGCAATGACCACTGCCATCTGACTCCTGAGCCACGTACCAGTCTGAGTTGTACCCTTGATACACAGACCCAGTTTATTGAGTGAGCTGAGCTTAAATAGGAGATGGCTCTCTCTTTCTCTCTGAACACTACACTCTGAACCCCTGGAGACTCCCTCTAGCCCATGATGACAGACTGGACAGTCCATACTCTGCTTTCTCATCAGTTTAGCTTAACAAGTACTGTTTGGTCACTCATGCTCAATTTCAGGTATCAAATGGTCCCTTGAGGTTATTCCAAAACTTCAACCTCCCATCCCTTTCAAAGTCCTCAGTCCTTACAACCCCCAACTCTGGCTATCGGATTTTTGGAGTTGGGTCAGGAGGAGGCATGGCCTCTTTTCTTCATTCGTACTTAACTTTTTGTTTTTCTCCCCATCTCTGTGACTGTGAATTAGAGTAGGAGATAGGGATTAAATAAAAAGGACTCTCTTACAGGAATATGGAAATCAACCACTAGTACCCTCTTGGGGCGGATGTCCACTTGTTGACTCTCCTGGGCACACATGCAGATTCTCAAGGCCCTGGTTGACCTCCTGTGACATTGCTCAGCTCCTGCTCTGGTCATCCATTCCACAGCCTCTGATGGCTGGGGACCCGTCATAGGCGCCCAACTTGTCTGGATTCTGTAGCATCCTCTTGGCACATGGGAAACAAGCAGTTTGTGTTGCCAAGTAGACAAGCAGGCCCTTCCCTACCACGTTCTAACTCACTCACGGCCCTGTTGTATCATGTGACTCCACCGTACCTCCTGCCTTCTGAATTGACCAGGCTCTGTGGTCATGTATGCCACCAAATGCGTGCCTTACTATGCCAGGTGTTCTCCAACTGCTTTTTTTTTTTTTTTCTTTTTTGAGAGGTTTTTGCTATAGGGCGTTTGTACTCACCAGAAAGACAGAGAGAGACAGAGAGACAGAAAGTGAGAAGTCATCCCTCTCCCCGGGGGGGATGGCCATGCCACAATCCCCTCTCCTCCATTCTCCTCTCAGGATCTTGGGCACGGACGCACACATGCCTGGCCTGAGTTTAAGCAACTGGATCCGGGACTTGAACCGCAGTCAACTACATGGGAGTCCAGCGACATAGTCATTACGCCAACTGCTGGTCCCCTCCAACTGCTCTTGACGTCTGTCCCAAACACGGAATCTTTCCATTCTGCACCTTTGTAAAGACATGGCCAGGTGTGAGATGCCAGCCTCAGTCCCTCCAGGCATATCAGTTCTCTGTGATGGTCTCCTGGCTGTATGCCCCTCTTCTGATACAGTTGGCCCTGAGAAGGGCTTTCCTCTTTGTTTTTCCTTGTGCTGGGAAGAAGATATGCAACAGAATTCCCTTTCATACTCTTCTCATTCCTTTTTAAATTCTAGTCTTTTCTTGGATGGCTGGTAAATGGTATTATTGTTGCAGGACTGGTTCTGCTCACCTATCTTTTATTAAGTGAATCCAAGGGAACTAAACTTTGCACAGAAATATATTGGCACTTACCTTCTATTGTGTTCAGTGTGGGGGAGCTTTAATTGAATTTTAGGGACTCTATCTCTATCTATCTATCTATCTATCTATCTATCTATCTATCTATCTATCTATCTATCTATCCATATCTATCTATCTATCTACATTTAGACAAGGTTTCACCAGGATGAGATCTCTAGCATCAGCCTTCTGAGTGCTGAGACTACAGGTTCATGCCATTGCATCTGGCTTTTAGGGTGGGGCAGGAATTGATTCTGGTCTTCCAGTGTAGCCTTGTTGTGCCCAGCAGTGATATCAACTACACACACTATTGTAGCTAGACCAATAAGAATTTAAATTTGATACCTTATTTATACACATAAGCCTTGCAACAACACATGACAGATAGCTCTAATCATGCCCATTTTAAAGATGAGGACATTGAAGTTCAACTAATTCAGGGATTTGCCAAAAGACACGTGGCAAGGCAGTGAAAAAGTCTGGTTTAGGTCTCACTGTGCTCTGTTTGACCCCAAAGCCAGGGCTCTTTACACCGGATATGATAGCAGGCTCAGTCTGGGCAATAAGTCTGCAGACATTCCTAAAGATGAAGAAGGCGAGAAGGACCTGCTCTCAAATTTGTGTCCAATGTATATGTTTTCTTTCTAATATGGTCATGTATATTGGCCTGAAGAACAATACCCAAAATCCTCATTTTCAGTTGTCTGTCAGGGACAGTGGGGCTGGAGTGCATCAGTTAACTCACTTTGGTGAAAACCCAATCATACTGGCTTTAATTGACAAGCGCAAATGGCTCTGGTGAAGGTGAGGGAGCCAAGTGCAAATAACGATGCCATTAGAGCTGACAACAGAAGTATGATTAAAGAATGTGCTAAACAGCTTTCCCTGTGTGATGTCCGTCCTCTTGCTGATCTCCTGCTTGTAGTCAAATGAATAATCACATGCTACCTATGAACACAGGTTTTCCTGTTCAAAATGCATTCCCATCTGTGATTCCCCGCAATAAGCAGGGACTGCCTTGACGGCCCATTTTCACATAAAAAAGCAGAGACCTACGAAGGTGAAGAAATTCCGGAGTTTCCCCAGCAGGTAAACAGGGACAGAATAAGGAATGAAAATCTCATTTCTTCCCTTGGAGTTCTTTGTTCAAGTGAGACTCTTAAATAGTATATTCAAAGAGGCATCAAGGGAAACCATGGCCCTTGGTCAGCCATGAAGCTGGAGCTCCTACTAGGCTGCTTCTGTCGGCAGACAGGAAGGCTCTCCCCACTGTCTGAGTCTTCCTTTTTTGTTCAGTCTCCCTGAGTGCACTCTCATGGCATTCATCCATTTCCTTTTCTTTCTCCCTCTTTCTTCTTCTTCTTTCTTTCTATTTTTGTTTCTTTCTTTTTCTTTTGTGGAAAAAGTAGAAAAATCAAGGGGCTAAAAACTGAAAGGGAGAATCTTGATTCTGTTTTTGTCTAAGGGGCCTGAAGACTCTATTTTCCACATTCCCTTCCTCTGTCTCTATAAGAACTGATAATTTCAGTAATAATGCCCATTTATTGAGCATTTACTAGGTATGGTGGTATGTGTTTTACATTCATTATTTCCCCTTTACTTATTCAACTATCATAGAAAGAGGCACTTCAGGTCTATAATTTCTTCTCTAAAATCTTTTAGTCAAATATTTTCCAGAATTT